AGCAATATAATGCAAATGTCATTGTACTTTCATGTTACACTCATGAACTCAAATAATAACACCAGCTCTTCAAAGTTCCTTTTGCTGTTTACTGTTGTCCTTTTATTGAACTTAATTTACCGGAAATCCCTACGCCACAAACAGAAAGGGAATCAAAACAAATCGTTTAAGAACAGAAAATGGCTCTTGGTTTATCCCAAACCACGTCCAGTGCTTTAGAGATGTACTTATCCTAGGACATTACCCAATGGTGCTCGTTCGTTTGTTTTATGAGACGAAAAACCTGCCATTACATTTTATAATGAAGTGGTCTTTAATTTACACGGGTTTGACCGGTTAACCAGTGGAATCCCTCGGTCAAATGACCCAAGGAGAAGGGTCAAAATAAAACTTATACCTTCATCAGGGAAAGCTTTTCCCATTTTCATAACGAATAAAATATTACCACCATCCCCAGATGCAGACGTCCGATAATACCCAATAAATAACAAGGAAGACCGCAGCCCATGGAGACCTCCCACTGGCTGGGTAAGCGGGGACAGGGTGGATGAAGGTTGAAAATAGGACGTCTGTGGGAAGGTGGACAAAAGGGAGGAGAGGGAGAGGATAGTTGGGAAGGACACACACAGGCAGTGGCGGTATGTAAGGAATACTGCCTCAGGGAATAGGTCAGGGGCCGAATATTTCTGGTGAGAGAGAAAAAAAATGACACTAAGGGTTAAGTGCCCGGCCACAGAAACGAAAGCGATACAATCGCGCTTTATGAAATCTATCTGTAATTGCATGGTTTCTAATACTCGTAGGTAATTATGTTATACCCGAATATATTGCACTGCATACCACCAGCTTAATATATCAATTGTATTCAGCATATATGAGAATTTCATTAAGTATTGCCTTCTAGCTGAAAGCGACATAGTTACTCCTTGACAATGTAACAGAAAATGGTTTTTAAGTCTACTATATCAAAGGAAACGTTATAAATCAAATATTTACTTAAATCCCTCTATTAGGGATTAACTTTCCTTGACAGGTCTATAGACTTTAATCCCAGTTAACCAACCAACCAACCTAAGCCTCTCACTATGTATACGCTTAGAATTTATACAAATAACCCGCACACAGAAGAGAGAAACTTATGACGACGTTTCGGTCCCACTTGGACCATTTACAAATCGCACTTCGTGACTTAATTAAATGGTCGAAGTCGAACCGAAATGATGTCATATGCTTCTCTCTTCTTTGTGCGAGTTATTTGTGTATTGTTCCAGTCACGGTATTGTGCGTTTTTGTTCCCCTTAGAGTTTGCATTAATCTATTGTTTAGGTAGTAAACTATACATTACTGGTAGTGAATAGGTTACTTGCTATCTATATAACCTTCGTGTAGTTGATTGGTTCTAAATCCAATCAACCAACCAATTAACCTCTCAGTGTATACTCACTAAGAGTATACATCAATACCTCTATTAGGTACTAAAGAAATCTTGATTGGTGGTGACCTTTGTGTGATCTGAAGGCTTTGAACTCAGAATATATGTACATAGAAAGGTCTCACAATGTTTATACACTGAAAGATTACTTTAATTCTTGTTTCGGAGATAAAAATATTTTTGACTGGTGGTGGGCAGGTTACAAGCGGCTTTTAGCCCAACGGGCAAACCAACCAAGTTCGCTATGAATATATTCCGAATTGAAGAGTGTATTTTTCAATATGTAAACACTGTGAGTGTTCTTTAATCTTTGTATAACGGGAAAATGATTTACTGGTGTTTAAACAAGTGGCGCGCAGCTTAAGTGACCCGAGTGTAGTCGCTAGGTTTAATTACTGATGAACAGCTAATAAGCTTAATTAACAGTTTAATTAACTAATCGTAGCTAAACGATAAACTTTTATTTTAATGACACATTTAATGCTAAATACTTTGCTAATTTATTATAATTATTATTATTATTATTATTATTATTATTATTATTATTATTATTGTTATTATTATTATTATTAAACTATTTAGAGATAGTTTATGGGACAGACGTGTGATGGTTATTAAAACAGGATATATATCCTGTGAGGTGTCCCGTTTAAGGATTAAAGCATTCTTGACTAGTGGTGAACAGGTGATTTGTAGCCTTTATAACCCTCGTGTAGTCTACAGGCTTCAACCATGTAGACTACACGATGATGATGCGATTTTTAGAGTTTAATAAAATGTTATTTATGAAATATTATTAGTCTTCCACCATGACAACAGCTCAAGTCACTTTTCGCAAATCGTTTATCTGTACACCAGGAAGAAACGTGTGCAACAGTTGGGCAGCTTTATTGTCGAAATGTTTCGCCTGCACAACAGGCTTCTTCAGTCGAATACAGAAGTGACTTAAATAATGCATACAACAGAGGCAGTGGAGAGGAAATTATGAGGTGATCAAGCCCAAGTTTCTCTGCTGCTTTTGCTGTCTCCAGTATTTAAATCGCCTCAGTATACGACAGAAGAAACGTTGCAACAACAACAACAAAAAAAAAGAAATACCCAACTGCTGCATTTGTATCACACCCGTCTACTTTTATCGTAAATCTACTTACACAAATAACCGGCACATAGTGTGACTTTGTAAATGGCTCAGGTCGGGCCGAAACGTAGTCTTAAGATTTTCTCTCTCCTATGTGCGGGTTATTTGTGTATTGTGTCTCGTTGTTCATCACTACATCTTGTCGGAATTGTATATCATCAATATACTGATATATATTAAGTTACTTATACATTTACCTTGACATGGAATAACACTCTGGAAACCGATCCATGATATTGCATCGGAATTATGATTTGTATTTTATATAATACAAGACAGTAAAATACCCTTACTGCATATTTCTTGATATACAGTGTATTGCATATTTCTTGATTTTTATTTCAGATTGAATAAAACACAAAATTTTGACATAATTTTATATATATTCTAATAACGCAGACTAGTGCCAGAGGTAACGAGTTCCTTTATCAACAATATAATGTAAGGATGCCTTTCATAACAGGTGATTCATAAAATATCAATAATATAAAAAACAAATGAGGGTAATAAATAAAATATAATAAAATAGTAGAAAATTCTGAATATGTTGGAGATGATTAGGTTGATGAGATTTCACATTTTTGTATATATCATGTGAAGCCATAAATTCGTGGAGATCTTAAAGCGAAATGACTGGTGGAGGCTCGATCATCCGTCAGCTAATCGCGATAGACTCGCTGCCTACTTTCATGGTATATAATATGAGATGAATGTAACTTAAGGAGTTGCACTGATCATTTGCCAGATAATATATATATATAATATATATATATATATATATATATATATATATATATATATATATATATATATATATATATATTATATATATATAATATATATATATAATTCAGAGGGCTGAGGAAGGGTTGTTGAGGTGGTTCGGACATGTAGAGAGAATGGAGCGAAACAGAATGACTTCAAGAGTGTATCAGTCTGTAGTGGAAGGAAGACGGGGTAGGGGTCGGCCTAGGAAAGGTTGGAGGGAGGGGGTAAAGGAGGTTTTGTGTGCGAGGGGCTTGGACTTCCAGCAGGCATGCGTGAGCGTGTTTGATAGGAGTGAATGGAGACAAATAGTTTTTTAATACTTGACGTGCTGTTGGAGTGTGAACAAAGTAACATTTATGAAGGGGTTCAGGGAAACCGGCAGGCCGGACTTGAGTCCTGGAGATGGGAAGTACAGTGCCTGCACTCTGAAGGAGGGGTGTTAATGTTGCAGTTTAAAAACTGTAGTGTAAAGCACCCTTCTGGCAAGACAGTGATGGAGTGAATGATGGTGAAAGTTTTTCTTTCTCGGGCCACCCTGCCTTGGTGGGAATCGGCCAGTGTGATAATAAAAAATATATATATATATATATATATATATATATATATATATATATATATATATATATAGTAACTAGAGCAGAGGGGACGGAGCAGACAGACATTTAGATCATCAAAGAAAATGAGGCATAGAGCGGCTGCATTTATGACATGGGTCACTGGTGGTAGTGGAGTTTCCTACATAAAAGAGAACGTCTTCTGAGGCTGTCTTAGCCAAATGATGAACCCGCTCAGTAATTATGCACCCACTTGCGTGTCATACCACAGCCAAAAGGTCCTCTCACCGGCAGAGTGCTGCATCACTGAGACAGCTGTTAAGGAAGGAAACCAAACACTCTTGTAGAAGTCCATAAGCGTCGCCGGATCTGTCGCTGTCATGTTTGTCATTCGAGGTCAAACGTTAAGTCCCAGCTCATATCTCAGTTGAGGTTGAACCTCCTCTCACTTAAAGTGCCACAACACTCGCTAATTAATTACTCGTATTTCTCGTATGCCTCACTGAGGGCTGTCAACACTGGGGATAGCACATCCAGCGACCTGTGGGAACAATGTTATCAGTGTCTCCAAGGGCTTACTTTTCGAAGGGAATATAATAATAATGATAATGACAATAATAATAATAATTATAATAATAATAATAATAATAATAATAATAATAATAATAATAGTAATAATCAGAATCTCTGATTGATGACACCCTAGCATGATGAATGCAAAAATCATTGGGAAGACAAGGGAGACGGTTTCACTGTGTAGAGTTGTATCAAGGTCTACACAGCGAAACATGTCCCTAATTGGAGCTTATTTTCCTCGGCGTACATTTTTTCGTCACTGTTCTCATCAGTACTTCAGTTGGCTGCTGTACCAAAGGGAAACGAAGCAACACTAGATAATTAAGACAAGTGAACTGAAGGCAATGATAAAAGAATTGTTTAAAGCCGCTTTTTAAGTAGTATTGCGATCAGTCGCATTCAGTTTTATTCGTTTAATGAATATTTATTAACAAATCCACATCACAATGCCTTCGATGAGCTGATGAGTTTCAAGAGTCTTTCTACTCCAGGATACGCCAAGTAAACATATATTTTGAGACATAAGAAATAAGGAACACTGCAGCAGGCCTGTAGGCCCATACAAGGCAGGTTCTTTAGCTTGTATTTAACGGTAGCCACTCACCTCTTTGCGTAGCTAGTGTAGGAAGAGTATTCAGGGTTTTGGTAGCTGTAGCTGAAGTTGTCATAACTGCCCCCAGCTAAGTAGTGTTTAGCGATGCTGAAACCAATGATGGGAATGACGATGAGGGCGGTGATGATGAGGATGACGACGCCAGCGATCACACCGTACTGTAAGAAGGTGGAGTTGAAGGTGAGTGCGGTACCGCTGCTATCTAGGGTGATAGTCCCGAAACGAGGTGTCTCCTCCAAGTCTTCGTTCTCCACAGCGGAGGCAGCAGAGGCGGCGGAGGCCAGACACAGGACCACGGAGACGATGAAGCTTTTCATATTGGCTGTTGGTTAGGGGAGGAAGGAACGTTAATGTAATAGTAGCACTAGAAGAGGGAACTCTGGTAGATGCCACAAGATAACATATACACCATATATCATTATATTTACATGAATTATATTTATAGTACGGATTTTTTTATGCGAAGCACTGAGCCCATGCGCCTCAATACAAACAGCCCTGTCTGCTGGAACACCAGTTCTTCAGAGAGTTACTCCCTCGACAAGTTACCGTGACTGTTGCTTTAGCTGGTATCCTTAAAGACTTTTATCAGGTCCTTGAGAAGAAGGAGGAGGTGATGGTGCTGCTATGATGGGCCGTGAATGTGTGCCTGTCAGAGGAAGGCTGTCATGTATATATACGCACCAGCATCGCCCAGGTCAGGCAAGGCTGATAATGACGCTGTGTTACATACAGCTGGCGTCATAACGTTACGCTCACCGGCTACGAAGATAGCCTAGACATCCTCCCTGAACGAAGTCACTCATCAGATATTGATGCATTTTTTATATGATCTGCAGTTTGCAGATTTCAGGAAATATTATAGTTTAATTCAGCAAAACATTTATATATTTTGCAAATTCTCGTTAATAAAAAGAATAAGTTGATACCCACACTTCACGGAAGACTTTCGAAGGGCTGCCGCTGCTGCTGGCGTAAATAACAGCAGTGAAATATTGAATAGCACTTAGAAAGCGGGATATGCTTTTGTCATGAGCATAATTATGTCCTCTAATTGTTCCTAATTATGATGAGAAATCACATGCCCTGAAACATTTCTTAACAAACTTATAGTTTTAATGAACTTGTTTGTTTACAGTGAAAATTATGGCTTTCTGATTATTAATGCTGTAATAACTGTTAGTTTAGCATTAGTATTCCATTAACACTTTCTGCTCTAAAATTAAACAAAAGGAAAACAGAAGATTACATTTAACTTTCTAAATAATATATTTTTAGCGCCTGAGCAGTAGGGAAATTATTGTAGTTGATATTTGGTGTGGCCATTGGAAATACATGAAGTCAAAGGATCCTAACGTCATTTTCCTGGAGAAACCTGGAGAGGGTTTTGGTGGTCAACGCCCCCGTGGTCCGGTGGCCACGTGATAAAAGTTAAAATCACTCAAAAAAAGACACTTGTCAATAGGCCCAATGTGGTGACGGAGGCTCACGCATCTCTTATACGTCATTTGTGGAAAAAGAACGCTTGTGTTGAGACCACGACAATTATTAAAAGAAACGTTTAGCCCTGAGCGGTTTCATGAGTCCTAACACAACGTTTGAACAGTGTAAGTTACCAGAAGCAAGGGTGAGGTGAGTAATAAATGTCCCGAACATTTACAGTTCAGGACATTTATTGAGGATACCGATTATCACTTTTTAGAAAAAAGTTCAGGAGACAGTGGCGGAGTTTTGCTCACCAGGAAACAGGAAAGCGCCTCCTCATGCGCATCCTTGTCATACAATCGGCTGTTCACTGGTAAAACCCTATAATGTCCAAGGACGGAGGTAGTGATCTGTCAGAAGAAAAGGGTAGAAATGGTGGATCTCTTGGTCACTTGAGCGAGTATCTAGCGGTCAGAATAGAATAAAATTTTATATCCATGGTAACTTCACTGTTTTGGTACTTATAGGAAATACTTTAGCCAAGGTTGGCAAGTCCTTTAAACACAGTCTTGTGGACAAGTGAGATGGACTTTCCAGTTTCATTAGATTATGCTTCAGTAATCTTTGTCCAATATACTTTTCAGTAAGGGGAGACCACTGATTCAGACGACGCACTCTTCATCCAAGGAAATGGAGCTACCCTCCCTTTCTCCCTTCTTTCCAATCATTCGCAAAAACTGTGTGATTCAGGACACATAAGAACAGAGGAGCAAAGGGTCTTCTGGCCCATACTAGGCTGGTCTAACTCAAGCCCATCCTCACTGGCTCATAAGTACATAAGAAAGGAGGAACACTACAGCAGGCTTACTGGCCCGTACATGGCTAGCCCTCATTAAATCTAAACCCACTAACAAAACTATTCAACAAATCCATTATCAATGTTACCTTTGAAACCTATATTGAAAGCTACACAAAGCTCTTGGCTCAATGAGTCTACCTGGAAGTTTGTTCCCCTCATCTACAGCGCTACTGCCAACCCAGTACTTCCGTGTATCTTCTCTAAATCTAAATTTATTCGGCTTAAATCCATTGCCTTGAGTCCTGTCTTGGTTAGACAGGTGGCCTCTGGTCACTACCTTCTGCATTAGGCTCTAAGGGTGATAACCTGATTACAGTCAACTGCCTCTCTACTTCGTCAATAAAGATTCCTAATTTTATCCATGTGTCTTACTCTTCACCATGTCTACATTATATTCCATCTGTAATATGACAGATATTTTCAAGAAGCCAGTCCTACAGATTAAGCTTTTACTTATGAATGTATGAATAATATTATGCTACAGCCGATGCACACAGAAGATATTTAACAAAGCTAATAATGTTGCATTCACATTGTATTAAGGCAGGGAAAAATGCCGAGGGGAAAGTTGATGGAGACAAGTGCTAACTCCGTCTCTAAACACTCCCTTCCGGCCTCACTAAATTTCACTTTTAATGCAAGTGGTTGACGCCTCTGAGGGGACGACCCTTTGTTTGTCTCATTCTTTTTATATAGTATTGTTCTGTTGCGTATCTGTATTATTACCATGTGTGTCTGTAGGCATTCTGTTTCGTGTTTGGTGATTTCGTTTTTGTACATAACCCATTATGTATTGCTTCTGTTGTGTGCGGTCTTGTGTTTTATTGCTCTCTTCTGTCTTTGTATTATGTTTAGTCTGTATAATTCACAATGTGTGTGTATCATTCTACTTTCTGTCTGTTGTGTTGTTTAGTGTTTCCGTGTAGTTGTTTTCCCAGCTTAGTAGAAATCAACTTTCTGACGACGAATTTTCAATCCTTTTTAAACTGTAAAAATTTGTCTCTAAACTTCATGTTGGTTTGAGCTTGTAACTTGGCCACAATTTTTGCCTCTAATGCATTATTATTTTTTACTGAATTTATGGATAGCTTTATTATTTAATATTTCCTGTAGATTTCCCATGGTGGCTTTCGGAGGTCATCGTCACCGCGGCCCGATCCCGGACCAGGCCTCCTGGTTGCTGTCCTGGTCGACCAAGGCTGTTGGTGCCTATCGCACGCAGCCCATTGTATGCACCATAGCACGGCTGATCAGGAACTGGTTTAAGGGAACTGTAGAATTCCCTCTTGTAATATCCTTCTTATCTTTAACTTAAATAAGAGAGGAGCATTGTCGAAAATAAGAACACAATATTTACATGATGTGGAAGAATACCTAGTTTTTATTCTTTTAGAAAGCTGAAGATGGTGACTTGAGATCATCGAAACTTCTGAATGAGTTTAATGCTTTATCAAACAACTGTTTGGTACCACATTTATAGCATAACGCCTCACTCCATCATAAAAAGTTCGTAACACTGGTTTCTACAGATGGCTGATGAATGACCCTAGTAGCTACCAGCGAAGAGGCAGGGCCAGGAGCTGAGATTCGACTCTTTCAACCACACATAAGTGAGTACAATAGCAGGTGCCATGAGGGAAGGTGACTGAAATAATTAAGACAGCTTCAGCACTTTAAAAACAACATTAGCCACAAACGAGTGCTAGAAGAGTGAACGGTCGTGTCCACCTGTTGCGGCCACAAGTTATGATTTCCCTTTCGAATGTTCCCTGTATGTGCGCACACCAGTCACTGGTGTGAATAATATTAAATTATATTGTCCATCACTACCTGGGATATCAGTGCATCAGTTCGAACCCAACCTGTGAGATGTATATATATATATATATATATATATATATATATATATATATATATATATATATATTGTGTGTGTGTGTGTGTGTGTGTGTGTGTGTGTGTGTGTGTGTGTGTGTGTGTGTGTGTGTGTACGTGTGTGTGTGTGTGTGTGTGTGTACTCACCTATTTGTACTCACCTATTTGTGGTTGCAGGGGTCGAGTCCTAGCTCCTGGCCCCGCCTCTTCACCGGTTGCTACTAGGCCCTCTCTCTCCCCGCTCCATGAGCTTTATCAAACCTCGTCTTAAAACTGTGTATGGTTCCTGCCTCCACTACGTCATTTTCTAGGCTATTCCACTGCCTTACAACTCTATGACTGAAGAAATACTTCCTACTATCTCTCTGACTCATTTGTGTCTTCAACTTCCAATTGTGGCCTCTTGTTTCTGTGTCCCCTCCCTGGAACATCCTGTCCTTGTCCACCTTGTCTATTCCACGCAGTATTTTATATGTCGTTATCATGTCTCCCCTGACCCTCCTGTCCTCCAGTGTCGTCAGGCCGATTTCCCTTAATCTTTCTTCATAGGACATTCCCCTTAGCTCTGGAACTAACCTTGTTGCAAACCTTTGTACTTTCTCTAGTTTCTTGACGTGCTTTATCAAGTGCGGGTTCCAAACAGGTGCTGCATACTCCAGTATGGGCCTGACATACACGGTGTACAGTGTCTTGAATGATTCCTTACTAAGGTATCGGAATGCTGTTCTCAGGTTTGCCAGGCGCCCATATGCTGCAGCAGTTATCTGATTGATATGTGCTTCCGGAGACATGCTCGGTGTTATACTCACCCCAAGATCTTTCTCCTTGAGTGAGGTTTGCAGTCTTTGGCCACCTAGCCTATACTCTGTCTATGGTCTTCTGTGCCCTTCCCCTATCTTCATGACTTTGCATTTGGCAGGATTAAATTCGAGAAGCCATTTGCTGGACCAGTGTGTGTGTGTGTGTGTGTGTGTGTGTACTCATCTATTCGTGGTTGCAGGAGTCGAGATTCAACTCTTGGCCCCGCCTCTTCACTGATCCCTACTCCATGAGCTTTATCATACCTCGTCTTAAAACTATGTATGGTTCCTGCCTCCACTACATCACTTGCCAGACTATACCACTTCCTGACAACTCTGTGACTGAAGAAATACTTCCTAACATCCCTTTGATTCATCTGAGTCATCGGCTTCCAATTGTGACCCCTTGTTTTTTGTGTCCCATCTCTGGAACATCCTGTCTTTGTCCACCTTATCTATTCCTCGCAGTATTTTGTATGTCGTTCTCATGTCTTCCCTAACCCATCTGTTCTCCAGTGTCGTCAGGCCGATTTCCCTGAACCTTTCTTCGTAGAACATTTCCCTTAGCTCCGGAAATAGCCTTGTTGCAAACCTTTGCACTTTCTCTAATTTCTTGACGTACACGGTGTACAGGGTCTTGAACGATTCCTTACTGAGGTATCGGAACGCTATTCTCAGGTTTGTCAGGCGCCCATATACTGCAGCAGTTATCAGGCTGTGTGCTTCCGGAGACGTGCTCGGCATTATACTTACCCCAAGATCTTTCTCCATGAGTGAGATTTGCAGTCTTTGACCACCTAGCCTATACTCTGTCTGCATGTGTGTGTGTACTCATCTAATTGTACTCACCTAATTGTGGTTGCAGGGGTCGAGACTCTGCCTTTTCACTGATCGCTACTAGGTCCTCTCTCTCCCTGCTCCATGAGCTTTATCATACCTCGTCTTAAAACTATGTATGGTTCCTGCCTCCACTACATCACTTGCTAGACTATTCCACTTCCTGACAACTCTATGACTGAAGAAATACTTCCTGTGTGTGTGTGTGTGTGTGTGTGTGTGTGTGTGTGTGTGTGTGTGTGTGTGTGTGTGTGTGTGTGTGTGTGTGTGTGTGTGTGTGTGTGTGTGTGTGTGTGTGTGCGTGCGAGTGTGTGCGTGCGAGTGTGTGCGTGCGAGTGTGCAACAAGATCACAGTAAGCAGGTGATATCACAGCATGTAAAACAACCACTGTGAAAAAATAGTGAACATACAAGCGCTTTCGTGATTTCTCACGTTATCAAGCATAGTGTGTTGATCATAAGGAGTCCTAAGATCATCCCCTGGAAATAATGTTGTCACCCCCCTGCACCGCCAGAAAATCCATCTGCCTAGTTACAAGTACATTATTTCGTATTCATGTACAATCTCTTTTTGCTTAATCTTTGCTTAATCCTTGTAATTTCTAGTGAGGATTCCAGAGTCTGAATCACTTCCTTTATATAAGAATTAGTAGCTGTACAGATGAACAGACACAGCACTGCCTGTATACAAATAAATTTCGATGGCAATTTTTCAATGAACTCAAGTACCGCTCAGAATATTTAGAGCACTGCAGCTTCCAAGAAGGAATTTACACATTGTAAACAATTCCGAACATCAGTTTTCCTTTTTAGTTTCTAAATCTAACCGTTTATTAAGAAATCTAGGATGTGGTAACATAGATAATGGTGCACTTTCTTCTCTTAAACTGACATAAAGGGGATGCATAGTAGTTGAGATTATTGACGCGTTCCAACTAGCTATGTGGTCAGCGATGTAAAATATTTGCGAATCAGCTGATTGAATTAACCGTTGCAGAGTGTTGCAACATTAGTTGAGCCCACTGGCCTCCTAACCTGACCAGTGATGACATTCACTGTGGCAGTGTGAAACCAGATCAAGGTTTGATGCCCACTAGAGGAGGATACAGGGATATGCTGCCGGCAGCTTTGTAGAAAAGACAGTTGCGGAACAATGGACTATTGACTCACGAAATCGTAATGACACGATTGCAAACAAACCATACCACGGGCGATCAGAGTCGGCCTGGAGTTTTATGACTCTCTGATCGCGGGTTCCATCCCTGCCCGTGGTATGGAATGGTTTACTGTGATAATGTTTTTGCTGTGCTTAGAGTTTCATCATCAAGTCAATGCGTGAGCTAGTAAAGCTCTACACAGCAGAACCTAGTTACAATAATAATTGTTCTACGACAGTCATTTCATCAGTGTAGTAAAGGAAACTGAAAGAGCCAGGTAGGTTCCCCGCTTTTCCTAACTGTATTAACGACGCATGTAACAGGAATGTGACCCGAACAGGAATTAGAGATGCAGGGAGAAGCCTCTGCAACAGCGAGGCAGTAGGCTGTGTTGACATGTGTATATACATACAGATAAGATCCTGATTGCCTTTTGGTCTTCCTGAGAATACCAATAAACACACGCTTTAAACACAAGCATATAACTTCTATCTGAAGATCTCATTTACCTACACATCACGAATATTTTAATCTGTATAACAGGAATTGAAGAGAACTTGATATAACAAGAAAGAAACCTGATTTGTACGAGAAACTGTGGAAGAATAAAACTTTAAATGGAAATCCTGATTTTTTTTCAATCTTATAGAGAATACATGGCAACCACAGGTAAATATAATCGGGATATCAGGTGACGAGAAGTAAGCTTCCTGTTTACTACCTAATGCTGGCACATAATCCAGTATCCCAGAGCTGGTGCTAAGTGCTGATAGTTTACGATCCCAGAGCTATTACCTAGTGGTCACAGTTCACTATTTCAGAGCTGGCACCTAGTGGAGGTAGTTGGTCCATTATTCCATAATTAGTACCTAGTGCTGGTGGTTCACTTCTCAGTGCTTTTAGATAGTGCTGGTAGTTAGAAAAATACTTAATGCTGGCAGTTAGACTAGTAATATTTTCTAGTGCTGGTAGTTAGACTAGTAATATTTTCTAGTGCTAGTACTTAGTCTACTACCTAGTACTGGTGGCTACACTCGTCATCTATACTAGTGCTAGTGGTTAGTGAGAGTAGTTAGTAACAGAAATTTGTGCTGGTAGTACATCCCTTTTCATAATCTAGTTCCGGTAGTTAGACTTGTCCATTACAGTAGTACTGGTATTAATTGTTTATAGACTCATCTGTCTACTGATTAATTATTATTAGTAGTATTTATTTTTAATTATTGTTATTTATAATAATAATACTTATTATTATTATTATTATTATTATTATTATTATTATTATTATTATTATTATTATTATCATTATTATTATTATTTTTATTATTATTATTATTATTATTATTATTATTATTATTATTATTATTATTATTATTATTATTATTATTTTTATTCTTGTTTTATAAAGCTTATTCAACATCACAGTGGGAAAATGGGACATCAATTCATTATCCCAACTCTAAGTGTCATAACACGAATGATGACCCACATTAAGGACACGGGATGAAGAAGATAATCCCAGCTTAGTATGCTCCACCACCTTCGACAGGCTTTCTCCTACTGACTGATAGTAGACTGTCCCATCCCTGTCAACCAGTGGCCATCCTGCTCAAAAAAACGTGTCTCAAAGTAATTGGTAAATGTGAAGGCGAGACATAGCTGGAATTCGCGATGGGTGGCAATTTATGTGTACCAGAAGACGTGGACAGAGAGAGAGAGAGAGAGAGAGAGAGAGAGAGAGAGAGGGAGAGAGAGTGAGTGAGACGGACAGACAGATAGGCAGAAAGCCAGGCAGAGAGATATATAAACATACGGGAATGAGTGGGTGAAAGCTGAGAGTAAATAAGGTGTTTCCTCTCCTTCTTTTCTGTGAACCAATACATCTTCGCTCATTTTCTTGCGCACATTTGATCGTGACATGTAATCAGTGTTGAAAGAGGTAAAGAAAACATTAGGGATAAGAAAAACTCGGTTCATTGATTAATAATAAATAAGTTTATGATTATTTTTTGCAAAACAGAAAATCGGAGATGATTTGTTACAAAATATTTGCTAGAATTCTTTGTGGTAACAACTCAATAGATGATATCACAGTTTATTAATATATATATATATATATATATATATATATATATATATATATATATATATATATATATATATATATATATATATATATATATATTATAATATATATATTATATATATATATATATATATATATATATATATATATATATATTACAATTTTTTTTTAGAGAATGTGTATGCGTAGATCATACGATCCATGCCTATAGGACCTGAGGAATTATAGGTCATTGGCAAAGCCATATGACCTGGGCATAAAGGACATGTTAGAGCGCAGCCCACTGGTGTCCCCGTACGACCTGGAACCCCGTAACCTGTTGGTGCATAGCTCACTGGTCGTCGAGTACGACGCGGGACCCCTAGGACCTGTTAAAGTGGTAAGAGGACCTGTTAGAGTGTAGGTCATTGGTTGTCCCAATAGGTCCGAGCCAGGGAGATGGAACACTCAGCAAAGAGCATCCTGCAGTTCTCCAGGGCCATGTCATCCTCTTGCCCATCCTTATACTTCTCCAGCTCTCTCTTAGACGGTCTGTCAGGATTAAGAAAAATAGTGTTTCTCTTAGCTCTTGATCTGAAAGTTCTTGTAAATTTCATGAAACATAAAACAAATATTAACAGATTTATCACCTGTAAATTTGCAGCGTTCATTTTTTTTAATTTATATTTAATTAGTAAAACTGAAAATGGAAATTTACTTAAACATGTTTTTAAATAAAATACAAATCTTTCCCATATTCTATTTCTTTAGTAGACCTGTGAATAGGACTGGTATTCCTGTACATGCTACTTGATACTCTGCACTGTTTACATGATGTACCGATCAAAGAATATCCCTATCATATGACATGGACCCATCTACCTCATGTGTGTGTGCATTCCCTTACCCACTCTCTTACCTAAAGTACTGTAGGAAAGCATCAATGACAGGTATCCTGGTGGATGCTTGCCGTAGTTCACAGAATATCAAGTCCCGACAAGCTTGTGAATCTTCTTCCACAGCAGTCAGAGTGGACTCAACGGCATCAACGCTAGTACCAACACATATAATAATGAGTCTTAATTTAAGTAATACTGAGTAACTTAGATTAACAAAGAGTAATCCAAAGAAACATAATGTTAATAACAAGCAATTTCGAACCTACAGTGAAAAAATATTTTTTTTTTAATATATATAAGCTTTTCCTTCATCTAGACAGGCGAGCAAAAGAGGAAGTCTAGCTAATTTTCCACAAAGGCATTATTCATTATTTCATCATAATCCAGTGAGCCACTGAGCCATAGCTCTACTTGTCTTTCAAAATGCAAGAAATATACTTCCCACTTTCAAGTCTGGCTTACCGATGTCCTTGACTTCAATCACAAATATAACCATGTTCACTATTCAGCAGCAAGTTATATTAAAAAAAAATAAAATAAACTTTTCTTCACTCCGATTCATTACGCTTTAGTTACTACTTCACTAACCTTCCTTCAAACCCTTCTTCTAGCCATCTCTTTTTACGTCTCCTTTGATTTATTTTAACCACTTCAGAATAACAAAACTTATTCAAGCTAACTTTCTGCATCCGTTCTATTGGACCAAAGCATCTCAAGAACCCATCGGAAGGCAAGCCGGTAGTGAGACCTACTCGTTCAAAGCCTGATCCTTGTTTGTAGTCAGAAGGAAAAGGGGCCAGTTGTTACTTCTACCATATGCCGTTGCAAACGGCAAAAGTAACACCTCCAGCACCACACGGCAGCACTTGCTAAGCTGTTTATCTCGATTAAAAACCCTTTCTAAGGTAACTTTTCTCCCTGACGAGTGGGTTGTCTTCCTAACTTGCTTTGCTCTTCTTCATTAACTCTTTTTTTCGAACTTTTTGTCTCCTTTCTTCATGTAAAAAAAAGCCTATGTACTGCTACGATTATCACCCAACCTATATGCCAATAAAATATAGGAAAGTGAATTCTGAATGTTACAGAATGTTTAATCTTTAAACAATTGCCGAACAGCGTTGATTGACGAATCTTTAATCACCTGCTGATGACCCTTTAATATTTTGTTTACCCGTTGAGAGCCGATATGAGGAGCACTGTTTTGCAGTGTGAATAACCTGTTGAACAACCGTGTTCCTAAAACGTTTAATACTTTTTTTTAGGAATTTGTTCATCTGCTGTTAGTTTGAACAATGTGTTGACTCATCTGTTAAAGACCCATTATGGGGAAGAACTATTTGCCTATAGTAGATGTTGACATAATTTAAATGCCATATTTTGTCTGTCTAGTACCGATAAGTAATCCTCGAATATTGGTTACATTTCCAGTAATTTAATATATCGTACAAGCCACAGTTTTCACATCAGATCTGTAAAACAGATGTGTCCACAAAGTCTTCAGCACTCACCTCCTTAAAACTTGATCGAGGAGATTGAAGTCATCCCAGGAAGGGGATGCTGGCATCAGATCCCATAAGCTCCAAGAGAAAGCGCGTTGCCTTACAGGCGGAAGGAAGATGACGTAGATCATATACACGGCAGAGAGGGTTAAAACCGTCATAGTACAGATCTGCACGAAGAATATCCCCGCCGCCTCTGTCCCAAGAGTTGCATATCAGGAAATAGAATTTTACATAAAGTTACCTAATAATTATTTAAGTCTTTCATCTTTGTTAGACTTCAGTACTATACCTTTGCTGCTCTTATATATATATATATATATATATATATATATATATATATATATATATATATATATATATATATATATATATATCATTTACCTGGATTTCCGTAGGAGAGGATCCTCCCTTCTGTTTGTAAGACCTCGGTGTTACCCTGCTTGGTTTCTAGGGTGTCTAGGGCTAACGAGCAGGTCAGCAGGCTCGTCAGCAGCACAGTCAGCCTCTTCAGCACCCCAGTCATGGTTCTCCTGAAGCAGCACCAGCAGGATAGGCAAATAACCAAATGCTTACACAACATACTATTAAGAGGAGAATGTGTAATAGTTATGGCGAAACATTAAAAAAAAAATGTATGGAACAGCAAGGTTTTGCTTCACACGCTGAGGGTCCGTAGTTCGATTACGGGCAAGGGTAGAAACATTGAGTATGTTTCCTTACTTAAAATGGGTATCTGGGTGTTAATCGACTGGTGAGGGTGGAATCCCGGGACGAAATTACCTAATTTTCCCGAAATGCTCTGCATAACAAGGGGATTTATATATAGTAGTATGCCATTGATGTCAGCTAGGCCTATATACCTCGTACATGTACATGTAGAAACAGATATATTATTATGATTTTTTTTATTAAAGTAAATTGGAATTAGAGAAATTGTGCCTGGGTGTAGAAATATACATAAATAAATATGTACAAGGCCTGGTCACAGACCGGACCCCGGGGACGTTGACCCCTGAAACCCTCTCCAGGTATACATACATACACATATGTCAAAAAAAAAAATCCCCGTTTTAATGTGAACTGGATATCAAAACACCCTACAGAAAGTGCAAATCAGTGAGAAATCTTGTTCGCATTTACAAATGAGGCTTCACGAGCACCCTGCAAATGGAATTCCATGTAATAATACAATCAAGGCTTTGCGGTGCTCATATGTTTTTTACGACAGTCATTTGTCAAGATGATAAAAAATCACCGCACTAATCAATATTGTTATCCTCTTTTCGTTTCGACATGTTGAACAAAGATTGGGACAGGATTGTGGGTAACATCACGTCACAGATGTTCATTTTCTCGCACTTATATGTGTATACTGTTATTTAAATGCAGCTTCCAGTATCAAAGAGTATAGCTGTAAGTATTACTTAGCAGGTTTGTTAGGTTCAAGACCTATCGATTGCACGTTACATAATATTTCTATAGTTCACCTGCACACTGATAATCAGGAATACTCATTACCTAAATATGGATTAAAATAATAATTACTACTACTAATAATAATAATGATGTTGGCGTACCTACCTTAGACCGTAACCACATTTTAGTACCCACTACAGACCGTGAATTCACTGTATTATTCTATCGTACTGACATCCTATCGCGATCACACTATAGTGCCCACATCAGACAGTAACCACAGTATCGCAACCACCTCGAAATTGAAGAATATGTAAGATGTTCTCAGTTTTTCTTTTAAGTAGACAGATTTAAAACTTAATTACTTCTTATTCTCACCAAACGTATTCTGGCTTACGGAAGGCGTCTTCTGCAGCACCACCAGCAGGATAAGTGGACTGCAGAGTCTCCGGTGTGGGAATGGGAGGCTCTAACTGCTGGCACTCGACCCGCCTTTCTACACTGCGACCCACCCATCTGCTCACAGGGTAAACATCTCATTACGCTCCAGTTTTCAGAAGTCTTAGTTTTTCAAATACCTTTCTCTTCTTGACTGCTTGTAAATGAACAATAAGACGTGTGGGATGAAAAGACTTTCTTTTGCGCAGTATTACTGATGCAATGTTTACGCTGGGATATATGTCTAGCGACAATTTGCAGCTCGACTTAAGAGCACAGTGAACCCGATTAAACAGAGCGTCATGTGACGTTATGAGGACGTAATGCCCCGGACATAATACACATCTTTCTTTTAATATAAAATATCAACACTTAGCCATGCTCTTATTTCCTTTTTTATTGTACTTGCTAACGAGTTCCGGCAGTATGAAGCTGCCTAACGTGGTACCTGACTAGGTATACCTGACAAGAGGTTAATAATCTGACTGGGAAATTTAAAACCGGTTAGATACATTGGACTGTGAAGTTTGTGTAGGTAGAAGAGTGACTGACGAAGACACATGAAACACAGCAAGCTTTTATTACGTCAACGTTTCTCTCAAGTACAACTTTACAAAATTATACAGCTAACATGTCAATTACTTCTTATATAATCTGTTCGGTCCGGTCAGGGGAAGGATATTCCTACTGAATTGAATAAAGTAATTTCTTCACATATGTGTAAAAAGTCCCTTGCCATATGCACCCATTATTCATTATAAACAAAAAAAAAGTAAATACGTCTGTAGCGTAGGATATATATATATATATATATATATATATATATATATATATATATATATTATATATATATATATGCATTATATATATTATGTATATTATATATATATATTATATTATATTATATATATATATATATATATATATATATATATATATATATATTATATGTATATATATATATATGTATATATATATATATATATATATATATAATATATATATATATATATATATATATATATATATATATATAAAGATTGTCTCTTGTATTCCTAGGTTTCTGTAGGTCTTCGGCACTATAATAACAGTAGGATACAAAGAATGCTATGTAGATAGATATTTGAGCTGTATGCAATCCTCAATGACAAACGCACATTGTATACAACACACATAATTCAATTAGAACAAATTAGCGAGTTTGATTTACCAGTTTTTCTCTTCTCATTTTTTACCTCTGATATTCTGAGGGACATGAAACATTTTTCGTAGATCCTGGGCACTGTGTCCATTGGCTAATCCGGACATGGTGCCGAGCACATGCTACCCATGTGGAAAAGCGAGACACCAGCCACCATGTGAGGAACTACAGACAGTGAGGTGATGATGCAACACGAAGGACTTGCAACATCACATCCTTCTTCTGTTGTCGTACATAATATGTGCTGTATATAAAATATAACAAGGTATTAGTAAAACTGCTACTCCTGTCCCAGTTTAACTGTAATTAATACACTTATTACACAATATAACGGTTCTGTGACAGCTGCCTCTTCCACTCTAATGACATATTACCGATTCTCATTGTATGTGTTTAATCCCTTCACGAGAGTTGATAAATTAGACACATGTATGGGACTGATTACTTTAAAGTTCGTCTGATCTTTAACCACTTTTCTTTGTATTGGACTGACGGAACCACTGCATGGGGAAACGTTAACATAATAAAAAATACCCAAGTGTTGCACATGTGTCTAGTTTATCAATTTGTCAGTTCTCTGAATCATTTATCTACATTCTTTCACAAGAGTATCTTCATGTGTTTTGAATGGCTCTTGCTACAAGAGATTGGATCTATCGTTCCTACCCTCGAATCAAACCTGACTACTTCCCAGTACCCAAGGATATAGCTGTTTTCCATAGATATTTCTCTGGGAGTGGTCCTGGTGGAACTGGGCTATGTATTCATATATGTAAAATATGTTGCTTGCCGTAATGCCACTACAAGATGCTAAATTTATCATCAAACAAAAGAGAAGGATCAGAAAAAAGTGTCTAGAAACGACAGTAATTAGAAGAGAGTACATCAATGAACATAATCAAGGCACGTTTATCTTAACCTTACACATTTGCAGGGGCAATTCGGGCAATATATTTGGACAGGAATTAGATAAATGTTCCTGTTAAATGCCATTTCAACATAACTGACCAGTTTACCTGCTGCATTACTCTACTGACCCATGATACTTTACTCACCTCACCTCTACAGGAATATCGCTTGCTTCTCATTTCTCCTCCCAAAACGAAATGTTGTTGAAGGTAAAGATTATTCTGCACGCGTCTTTTCTGTACAAGTTTAACCAAGTGGCTCCTGTCCCCTTGTAGTGTCCGTTGATTATTTTCGTTATTGGTTTCCATGTAATAAATTTAGAAAGATTCTTCTTGTCGACTTCAAAATTTCAGCATTCGTGTAACTTGCTTAGAAGAAAGCTGGAGCGTGTAGGTGCTATTTCTCCAATCATTCAACTACTGACATCAAGATTTAAGAATGAAGACCCTCGCATTTGCGATGTACTATTACTGGCTGAGAAGTGAATATAGCTAGTACAAAATGAGTAACCTTCTGTGTGTGGGTAAAGCGCTTCCTTATTTAAATAAAATACTATCTAAAAAAACAGGGGGTAATCTATACGATAAAGACCCGTTTCAGAAAACATGCCAAGTATCTCCTGACAAATGTTACAACACTAACAGTTACCATATAAAATTACATTCCAAATCTAGTAGCAGTTCATATTTATTGAAACAGTGATCTTATTTAATAATAGCATCAATTAAAATAAATATATAAGGCGGTTATTATCACTTCTTTTGGAAATATGACAAATTGCATGCAATTATAAAAAAGACTGGTGTTCATTTAGGCCTGTGTAAAATACACTACACACACATTGATGTTTCTTCATTCCTTCATACGACGGCATGGAGTTATTGTTTAATAAAGTTCCCCTACTGATAGCTCTCCTGTATCTTTCATTTTACCTTCCATCTACAAAAACACACACCAGATTTTCGTTTTAAGCTGAGAAGCAGCTACTGTAGATCATATGTTAGCGTCACGAGCAATCTCCTCTAGTCATCTCTGCGCCGAACAGACTCCATTCACTCTTCTCATTCGGAACTTCCCTCAGTCTTCATCATCTTATCTCCCCTTTAATCCGCTAATCTGCATTTCATTCCTGAGTACCTTAGCGTAGTCTCTAGACGTGATCGAAAATCTACTCTCTCAGCTCATCGCTAAGTTACATTCCCCTGACATCCTTCACCCACTCCTTTCATAATTCTTCTCTCATCCATCCCTCAAAAACAAAGAAAAAACTGTTAGATTTGTTCGTGGCTGAGTTGGATTTTCGCTTGTCAGTTCACTAATAAATCCCCCGCATTATTAACCAGGCTTGATTGCCATAAGATTGGATTAGGTTAGCTTAAGATTGAGTTAAACTACCGTAAAACTGGCTGAGATTACCCAAGGACTGGGTTAGAGTTTGCTTCTTTATTACCAGCTTAATTAATGGTTCTTTATAACTGGTTTAATTCTTTTAAGACTGGGTTATGTTTCTTAATTAGTAAATTAGTATAAGACTGGATTATATATTTTTTTTATTTCTGGCTAAATTACCAAAAGACAGGCTTTTATTTCTTTATAACTGGTTTAATTTACCATGAGGCTGGGTTTTGTTTAATTTTGACTGGTTTAATTACCTTAAGGGTCGGTTTCGTTTATTGCTGGTTTACTTACCATTATCCTGAGTAGTATTTCTTTTTTTTTTTACTTGTTTAAATACCATAGGACTTACTTTCATATCTACTTTAATAAATATTAGACTGAGTTCTCCTTATTACTAGTCTAATTACCATGAGATTTAGACTGTAGTAACTGATCCACATTACTGTATGACTGGGCAAAATGTATGAATTACTAGCCAACAGTAACAGCCTGGTTGATCAGGTCCTGATCCACTAAGATGCCTGGTCACAGACAGGGGAGAGGGGGCGTTGACCCCCGAAACCCTATCCAAGTACAATCCAGATTAACATAAGACTTGTTTTGACATCAGAATTTCTGACCTAAGATTTCAGTGAAACAGGACTAGGCTTTTACTAATCAAGGGTAGATCTTGTGGCGGATAGTAAACAGTCTGGAGTAGATTCGTAAAGTGCTGAAGGGGTTAAAATTTTGCATGACCAAATAATAAACGCAACGGCGAAATACGGAGAGGATGGAGAATAAGATTTATATACACGGTGTCCCTTTTTTCTAGCCTTCACAGATTCTGTTTTGTTGAAGCATCCCTTATACGTCACTTTCCTGATATGAATGAATCTTATTTCTGAGTATTTTGAATGACTGTAGGTAAATAATTAATCTGGCAAAATGGGAGAGACCTGATCATAGTATATACGGTGTTTAATCTGGAAAATATGTGCCTATCCTTCCTAGGGTCAAATCTGATGGCATCACCTCCCATAAGTGCTGAATGATATCTAAGAATATAGTGCTTCCCAGTGAACGTCAAAAACAATGTGATACTTTTTCATTCTCTACAGAGAGAAACATTCTCTCAAGCAAAATCTTCCACCGTATATACGAATTTTACTCCACGATTAAATATTGTTACATAGGCAGTTCTAAATAAATGCATGATCAACAGCTTAAAAAAAATGCATCGTTATGAAATGCTTTTATGTTTAACTTCAGAAAGGGATTTAAAACGGCACAAAAACACACAAAAACAGAAGAAGATTTTATTGTTTCTGAGAACAGGAAGACTACATAATAAATAAAGGCTAAAAAATAGCAAATATTGAGATAGAAAGTGACATAAGGTACAATTAAGCAGTGTTGAAGCGGAGATTTTCACGCAGTGAGCACACTGTGCTCACTGCCATAGGACATTGTACGATACTGTAGGATATTATAAGATACCGTAGCATATTATAATGGGTTATTATAAGATTTCGGTAAATACTGTAAAATGTATTAGAAACAACTTATAAATGAAACCATGACACAGATTACACACACACACACAATTATATATATATATATATATATATATATATATATATATATATATATATATATATATATTTATATATATATATATATATATATATATATACGTACAGTCCATAAGGTAAAAATAAATAAATAGGTATGTGGCTATATACAGAAATAAAGAAAGATAACTTTGCGAACAGTTATCACATAACTGTGCACACAAATATAACAATAACGGTAGATAATTTGGAAAATAATAATATTTATAAAATAATAAGAACAATGATAATGCCTAATTTTTATTATAATTATTATTAGCCGAATTGTCAGTTATTTAATGGGGAGCTTGTCTAAGTTAAATGATTTGGATTAATGAAAAAAAATCATTACGAAAGAAAGGAGCTTAATTACTAGGTAAACACTGCAGAAAAAAACACTTTCATTAGATGATTTAGTTAGCTTTACTTCGGCTACAATACACTTTTACTGGCGAAGCTTTATTATAAGCGATACGTGGTCTTAATAAAAACTCTCTGTGCATTGTTATTACCCTACAATAGCTTACTCTCCGCCTTCAAATCATCTTTACTGAGAGTAACAGTCAGGGATATAATGCAAACTTCTGTGGTTGAGGAAAAGAATATGTGAGCAAACACTGTAAGGAAACGTTCCTGGGGATAAACGAGGTACCCGGGCTGAAACGTTTTGTACCCAGATGTCTTAAGTATTTTCTCACGTGTTCTTTACTGCTCGTAGCTTATCTAACATAAACACACACACACACCTAGTAGCGACCAGTGAGAGGCGGGGCCAGGAGCTTGGACTCGACCCCTGCCACCTCAACCAGGTGAGTACACACAGAGATATGATAAAGCTCACGGTACAGGGAGAGTGACCTAGTAGCGACCAGTGAAGAGGCGGGGCCAAGAGATAGGACTCGACCCCTGTAACTTCAACTAGGTGAGTACACACACACACACACACACACAATGTATATAATTAATGCTCTGTATTTGTACTGGCTTTCTGGTCTTGAAATCACGTATTGTGCCGGGGTTGTGAATTCAAAATTATATGATAGCTTAGGGTGGATACTTTGTCAGGAGACACGGGCAAGTCGCTCCTTGCGCGGGATTTTGCAAGGTCATGCCCCTCTCAGTGGAGCTTTCGGCCATTTTCGAAAAGCCTTCCGCTGCCTTACCAGTCCACCCGTTAAATAATCAAAAGCACATCATATAATGCGTTTTGCATGAGATGCGTTAATATATGCTTTTTATTTTAACATGTGGGCTACTTTTCACCATGGAAGTGTTGCAAAAATTATAAAAATCACCGTCATTCACAGCACAGCTATCTTTCCAATTACAATTCTAAGGATCCTCGGAACCATAACATCTCCTCCACCCACTCATCATTCAAACGTGAACAAAGTATAACAAATTACTTGTGATTTATTATTGTTATAATAAAAACTGAAGCACTAAACATACAAGCGTCATACAAAGACTTGTGATTTAAAATGACACTGATAAAATTTCTCTCGCAATAACGTCCATAAGCACTGATGCCTCTCATTACCCAGGAAGTAACTGTGTTACTGTGCCTAACTGTAGCGTGTTCTCATGTATGTTGTCTACGACCCCTTAACATAACATTATCATGAATGCAGTCTAAGTTTACACCACAAGTCGTCTGAATATTAATTAGCTTACTGTATGTGAATCCTAGCACATTCACATTATCGGGGTCCTTCATTGCAATGTTAGCTCGTTCTGAGCCATGTTAGAGCAATATGAAATATCGAGTCCTATTCAGCATGAGGAAAAGTATGAGTGCAAGCAAAGCCTTGAAGACTGGCTTGCTGATGAAGATCACTGGTCGCTGCTCCACAGTGTCCGGACCAAGGAGGTGGGACACTCCGAGAAAAGCAGAGCACAGTCTTCAAATGCAGCGCCAGCCTCCTGTGCCTCCCTGTACTTCTCCAGACTGTTGACATTACGGCTGCAAGTGGAATCAGAAAGCCTGTATTAATATTTTCTAGTAGGGTCTTGATGTTGAATGCGATGTTATTAAGAAGCATATTATTAAGGCAAGATATTTTACACGGATACATACACCCCCGACGTTTACACCTATACACACACGAATATAATTATATATATAATTAATATAGCTGAAATCGCACGTACACACACATTTCTCATTATATAATATATATATATATATATATATATATATATATATATATATATATATATATATATATATATGTATATATATTATATATATATATATATATATATATATATATATATATATTATAATATATATATATATATATATATATATATATATATATATATATATATATATATATATATATACATGTCGTGCTGAATAGGCAGAACTTGCGATCTTGGCTTAAACAGCAACTCTCATCTTGCCTTATAGGATAAGTGAAACTTTGTGTATGCAATAATTTCGCCAAAATCATTCTAAACCTAACGAAAAAAATATATTTCACTGTGTTTGTTTAGTATTAAATTATCGTCAAAAAATCTAAAATATATTTAGTTTGGTTAGGCTAAAATAAATTGTTCTTGTTATAATAAGGTTAGGTAAGTTTTCTAAGTTCCTTTTGGTGCAAAATTATAAATTTTTACATCAACATTAATGAAAAAAATATATCTTTAAACGTATAAGAGAAAATTTTAGAAAGGACTTAATTTTAAATGAGTTCTTGCTAATTGGCCAGTTTTACATATTCGGCACGACATATATATATATATACACACACACACACACACACACAGATTCAAGGAACTTATGATAATCATATACTAAATTCGACTTTTGCAACCACAAAAAGAAGAGAATAAAAAGACGAGTTCAGACTTATGCAAGACACTGACAGTTACCATCAAAATAAAAGAGTTCATGGAGAAGCATTATGAAAATTACGTACCTGAAGTACTTCAAGAAATAGCCCAGGAGAGGTACACTGGAGGCCGACCTCTGTAACTCACAGACGGTGCGTCTTCGGCAGGCCAGCTCCTCCACGTCCAGCACGGCGAAGGTCGACTCAACTGGGTCGATGCTACAAGAGGAAGCAACAGATAGAGGATAATTATATACAAACCAAACTATTGGTTAAATAAAAACAACTTTCCTGTCTGAGTCTTACCAGTTAATAAACTATCGAGTGTTTGATATGTTTAAGCATAAGCGTGAAATAAGCCTCATTCATATTTATTTCTCTCTATTTATGTATGTAGGAGCTTGTGTGGGGAGATAGGGGGTTGTATAATTACCTATTTGTTATTACGCATTTTGATTTGTAGAGGAGGTGAGCCCCAGCTCTCGTTCCCAACTCTTAAATTTCGACCAACTGGCATTACTTAGCGTAGACTTATCCATTACTGAGACCCAGAATGGAATTTGCTTCCAGTGTGTCACTGCTTAACTATCTCAATTACTTACCATTCTTACCTTGAAGAAATACGTCCTGATATATTGTGGTTTATTTGGGTATGTAAATGCAAAGTTATGGCAACTTTCTCATATTTTATCCTTGGTTAAAAGCTCATTTTTGTTTTCCCTGTCGATGTCCCTCGTGTGCGTTCATTTGTCAATCATATCATATGCTCTTATAAATTTGCACCAAAATTAAAATAATCAAGGACGCTCACTGTTTATTTACAATAAATTTATGAACTACCTAGTCAAATTTCAGCTTCTTTTACTTTAATAAAAATACACTTGAAATTTTTATGTATAAATCACTTGTAATTTCAGTGGAATACTAAAGTCTTTAAAAATTTACAGTGGAAAGAACAATGAAAGTAAATACGTAGCTCAAAGCATATTATTCAAGACTTAACTCCATCTTTTAGATATAAGGAATAAACTGTTTGATGATATTTGAATTATAACACTGCTTAATATAATTAATTCTTGGAAACGCTGAAAATTTGTCTTAAAATATGAACTAGAAATAAATAGATTGAATTTTAAAGATGGACGCTACAATTATTTCCTCGAGGCTCTGTAGTTTCCCTCATACAACTGCAGATAGTTTCAAACATCAGGGAAGGTAAAAACCGCTAAGCATATAGGGGTCTTAGAGTGTCTGGAATGAGAGTTAGTCGGTTTGATGCAGGGAAAGGAACGGTAGCTTCAGTTTCTTTGATCAAGATCCATTCACCAGCATCAAAGTACGTGCCTTTACCACCTTTTGATGTCATTACATTGATGAGGTTTGGGTGAAAAACTACGACACTCACCTGTTAAGAACCTTAGTCAGCAGCGGCCCGCTAGCCAGCAGGGATTGCTGAAGGAATGGATAATAACTATGAGAAATGCGGCTCTCGTAGTCATCGAGGTTGTTGTTACCATGGATGTCCCTCTTCTCCACGGAGTCAGGAAGCCCTACCCCGGGGATAAACCTCTGAGCGATGCCGAGGGCGAACTCACGGAACAGGAGGATTACCCCGAACACAACTCCAATGTCGATGATTGTTTTCGTGCCGAAAATGGTGAGGGCATCTGTTTAGGGGAAATAGTTTCAGCCAAATAGCCTTCGAACTCACCTGAGGAATAATTGTTGAAGCATGTCCAGGTCATCCCTGGGTAGTAGATCCCATAAGTCCCAGGACAGGCTGCGGCCAGGGAAGGCAGGCATGAAGACAACGGTGACGATGTAGAAGGCAGCGCAGATGGTCAGCCAGTAAGTAAGTACCTGAGCCACAAACACGCCGAACCCGATCTCTGCGATCTCTGAAATCTCTGCCGAGGTACCTGCGTCAGCTTCTTGCTCACCACTACACCTTGTGAGCTTTGTACCTACTCACAACTGCACCTTGTGAGCTTTGTACCTACTCATCACTGCACCTTGTGAGCTTTGTCCCTAGCCACTACCCGTTGTAAGCTTTGCACTTACTCACCACTACGTCTTGTGAGCTTTACATCCACTCACCACCATTGCCTTTACATCACACCGTTACCTTCAGCAACTGATCACTATTTCAGCATTAATCTACTGTCCAGTACTGCTACTGGTCACTATGTCAACTACATTTACTGCCAACTACTAATTGCTATCTGCCACTCCACAAAGCCATTATATACAACTTTTCTCACACACATTAAATGAACCAACCGATCTAGAGCTATGGAGCTATCAATAAAAGTCGGCTTTTAGGGGACGGAAGATTGAACCTCCACCACTCCAAATTCACACAATTCCTTAGCTCACTTCACTTCATTCACGCTTCTGTCTTCAGCATAGAAATCCGTCACAGTAACCAATATGCCACAAACACGTTAATAAACATTACACTCGATTTTTACATAAGTGAAATGAGCTTAACATAAACAATTTGGATCACACAAGTACAGTTTTAGCAATTTCAAGTGTAATAAAAAGCATTAACAATAACACAAACAACAATAATACAAATAAATTATTAAATTACTACTACTACTAATTTTATTATTAATAATAGGAGCCACACAACACAAAATATGAAAACCTCATGACAGACATTCTATTAACATAACCCAATAATCCATTCCATTGAATGAGTGAAATTACGTGAAATATATCAAAGGGGGATTCGAACCTAAGCCTCTAAATGTGGATGTCCTGCACGCTACCAATATATATGTATATTATATATTTCTCAAGGTAGTTGCGTGATTTATCTTTATATTTATGTTAAAAGAATTTTAGTAATGTCATATTATAACACTGCAACTATACTGTAACTCTAAATGTGGTGTGTTCTTACCTTTATATCCTTGAGGAATGACCTTCGATTCTTGTTCTTCGGGCAGGTCACCGCCTTTGAGGAGAGCCTCGTCTACATCTAGAAATGTGGCTGTGGAGGCGTGTAGCAGGTAAGGTGCTAACACTATCACCCGTAATGACCACCTCATCGTGTGAGCCAACAACAGCAGACGGTCTGGAGACCAGCCAGGTGATGAGTTTCGAGAAGCAAATAGTTGAACCAGTATGAATACCGATTTATTATATGCATTTATTATGTGAAGCGGCAAATCCGCGTGGGTCACTGCACAGGAGTAGTAGAAGCCCCGATCCCCCTTTTGCTAATAGAGGCCCGGTGTTTGTCTGGTCAAATCGGCAGTGATTCGCTCTCACAATTTAACTGTAACACTTCCCTCCCAGAGATTCTAGAGTTTATCTCCCTTGAATCTGCAAAGGGAGTCTGTTATATCAATAAGAATCAATTATAGCAAACTTATTGTTGAGACCAGTTATGATAAACTTGAAAGAAATCTAGAAAAAACAGTCTACATTGTAAGAGTTTCTCATTAATTACAACCACATACGTGCACATGCAACCATGCACTCACAAGTGTGAACCAAATTGCACCTGAAAATTTTAGCATTGTTATGCACAATAAGCTTCTAGTACACAAATTTTTATATAAAATAGAGGAGCAAATGAGTATTACTGAAAAAGAATTTCAATTAATAAAAGAATACATTTGGCAGGGGCCTAGATCCTCGGGATAGGGGTCGAGTTCCTAGGGGGCAGGGGCCTAGTTTCCTAGGGTTAGGGGCCTAGTTCCTAGGGGTAGGGCTTAGTTTCCATGTCCTAGGCTTCTACCCCCATCACCTGAAGCTCAACCACGGCAGACAACTTGATCAGCAAAGATAAACGCAGAAATACGAACACACACCAAAGTTTAACATGCGTTCACGAGACATAATATTAATTTTAGGAATTCATTGTGTGGCCACTAAACTTTATATACCTAAAGATTTCTATGTCACCATGTCACTGGAAGACTCCTGTTAGTCTTATGTCTCTCTTCCCTGATGTTTCTTTACCTTGTAGATAAATGGATAAGAGAACCGACAAGTTGACAAATTGGACGTATGTGCAACTCTTGGGTATCTTTATTGAGGAAGCATTTCGCCACACAGTGGCTTCATCAGTCTATACAAATAGATGGTGAAGAACAGGAGGAGTTTGAGGTAATCAGTCCCTCAGCCTTGAGTCGAGGGACTGATAACATCGACTCAAGGCTGAGGGACTGATTACCTCAAACTCCTCCTGTTCTTCACCATTCTCCTTTGTATGGACTGATGAAGCTACTGTGTGGCGAAAAGCTTCTTCAGTAAAGATACCCAAGTGTTGCACATGTGTCTAATTTATCATTTCTTTCCCTTCCCTGATATTTCTTTGAGTCAAGAACTCGTTAGGAGATTTACTTTATTTTTTCACGGTATTTTTAGATCACTGCTAATTATCAAGTGATTCTCTACACATTATTTTTTTTCACGAAATACGTATGCGGAGTCTTGTCTTTTGTAGATGACTCGAAGTTCATCACATCAGACGAAGTCATAGTCTTCAAAAACTGGTTATGATTTAATCTTTGCACTCATCTAAAGTTTATGGGATGCATTAAAAAAAATATTTCATTAATAACTGAGTTCATTCATAATTTATTATATTGTTGAGTAAATGCTTAGCAATATACATGTTCGACTTCCTGCAATACTCAGTTTCATCCCTTATTTCAAGTTACAGAATCACTTCGCAGGTCTTGTACATAAACACAAGATTCTTAACACTCACGTCCTAAGTCTTGTCTTCCTCACCTTTGAGTGCAAATTATTACTCTTCACCTGCAGCAGATTCAGTGGTACCTTCAGGGGACGAGTTGCTCTTGCTGGAGTGAGCGCAGAAGTGATCTGCTTAACGTCAGGCGTCCCAGGTTTGCTGAGTTTGTCAGTCGCCTGGAGCCTCCCAGTGCGCATGACTTGTGTAATACATTACGTATCATACCCACTGTACCCTTAATGTGTATCATTCAATTTTAACATAGTTCGATGTTTACGTGAACTGTTTTATTCATTTCAAACCTTCAGCAACATCATATAGCAGATGTGGGGCTGATATAATAGATTTTCTGGTGATATTCCGCGGCCACACAGACAGGATCAGTGAACCTGCCAACGTCATGTGATGAGAAACCTGAACATTGAGGACACGAGACCTGGAAGTGGCTAATATAATTTATGCATCTCCCATCTCGTTGGCAACAGGCTGTCCTTGAAGTGGATGACCTACTGAGCAACCACGTAATGTGGTCATGACATGTTCTAGTTTTCTCTAGAGTGACATGAGAGCAGACACCTAGGACTGATTAAGAATTAAAAAGAATTAAAAAGAGTTAAAAGAATTACAAGAATTAAAATTAAAAGAATTAAAAGGATTAAAAAGATTTAATTAAAATTAAGAATTAAAAGAATTTAATACAATTCTTTTTTTCTATACAATTATTATTTTAATTTGTTAAGACAACTTTAAGAAAATATCTAAATAAAATCAAAAGCAAATTTTAACAAAAATTGTGCAGTATTAATAATACTGAAATATAAAATTCTATAGAGGGACTCATGCATTATTTACATATCTGACAGATATTTTTAAAGATCACAAAAATTAAATTGTCGTTAATTGCCTGAGCTTGCTACCACCTGCAGCTCATAAGACTGCCATCCCCACGAGCCCTTTTAGGGCGGGGCAGATGGCAGACCAGGGGCCTAGCTTCTCCCTACGAGCCCCGTGAGGGCGGGGAATGTGGCTAGGCCTGGGGACAGTTGGTCCCAAAGATGAGGGGGTACTTGTACCTCCTCCCATGGGAGACTTAAGTCTCGAGACACTCCCCAGATAGGGAGCCAAGGCCGGGTCAGACAAAGAAAAGAAGAAGCAGCCCAGCCACCGTGGAGAGAAGACGTTGTCGTTCCCCCTCTTCAGCTGAGCAACTCTGAACACTGTTGCTCAAGAATTTACTTGGGTTATCCTGAGTAGTTCTTCACCAGAGCTGAGAGGAAACTTGCTTGCAGTCACTTCGAGCCCCATCCCATCAAGAGGGTAAGGCGGTTTGACTTGCTTGCTTGTTCACCCCCTCTCATCCCCATCCCCCCATCCTTCCCCATCCTCCCCTCACCCAAACATCAACACTGGCCCACACATTTTACACATACTTTACATTGCTATCCTTCTGACTTTCCTATCTTCTTTTTTTTCGGCAACTTCGTTTTGGCGAGTTAACACAAGGCATTTTGACCATCCGGTAGCCCGTGTGGTTTTTTAAAACCCGGCCGATCTTGCCTTGGGCCCTTTCCCTAAACTACTCGAGGGTAGGTATCTTAGGGGCTGCCCTTTCATAAGTCAGCTGAAATAGGATGTTAGGTTAACTTTAAGGAAAGACCCCTTTTTGTTACGAAACTCCTCTGCCAGATGTTCCTTCCTAAAATCATGGCGAGGATACGTGTAAGATTACGCATTGATGGTAATCAAATGTCAATGAAAGAAATTCTAAATGTATTTGCTCCAACTCAACTGTTGCTCCAGTGGATGTTTTTAAAACCCCACGCTGGAGCAGTACTTCTCCTCTCTTCGGAAGAAGGGAGTTACTTCAACTGCTGAAGCTGATGTGTTTTGAAAAACTGAAGACTTCTGGTGTTACCCCAGTTGCACCTGAGAGTTATCAAGCTCAGGGGACTGTGTTTGTGGCCAGAATCAACAGTTTCATGAAACATAGCACAGTGAATGAATTGTGGAGGCATTAATACAGGAGAATTCTGAATTTAGGGCTGTAGAAGCACTAAATTCTCAAATCCTAACAACAACAAGGTAACCTTAAAGTTAATATTTGAGAAAACCTGAGGAGGCCAAACTTGTGTGTCAAAATGGCTTCAAATGTTTTGGCACCAGATGTACCCCTGACCAAATTTCTCTTGAACGCTTTGTCAGTGTGGCACAATGTTTTAAGTGTTATGCCTTTGGTTATAACAACAACAAATGCAGTACTCAGGCAGATTTGTAGCATTTGCTCTGGCCAACATTCGTATCGAGATTGTAACAACAAAAATACACCAAATGTGTCCTCTGCAATGGAAAACATCATGCTGTTTCTGCTATCTGTCCTGAAAGAAAAAAGGAAATGCAGAAAATTCTTGAAGCCAAGAAACTGCCCCACTTCTAAGAAGACCACTCCCCAGGCACCGCCAACGATGTCCCAAACTTCCTTCCAGCTCTGCTGGATCAAGTGGGACTCCTCAGGTTCTCCCAATGGTTCCAATGTTTGGAATTCTGCCCCTCTTGGAGCGCCCCAATCTAACCCTCACTTACAACATACACAAACGCAACAACAAGGTTCAGTTCTCATTCCTATGTTTTCAGGTATCCACAGGGGGATATGACGAGAGCACAACAAATTGTACATGATGGCCAAAAGGGACATAGCAGGTGGTGACATTAAACTCTGCTCTCAGGTTTTAAAGGGATCTGTTAATGGCTAATGGGATCACTCCCATCACTATCCAGGAAAATGTCAAGGCTATTATGACCCAGCCTTCTCATAACAAGAAGTATGTACCATACTCTACATCTAAAAATAAGCCTAAGTCATCCCTGGCCCGGGGGATTGCCCACCTCGCAAACCCAAAGGTTGCCAACTCCCTTCAACCGATAAGTCAAAAAACTGAACATAACAATGCCCCGGGAAATTGGTGCCTACTCTCCCGCTATAGAAGCTGATCCTGTTGAACAGGAACTTTCCCAAGGTAACTCACTTCCCTACCTTTTTTTTCCCTTGGAGCCTCCACAGTCTCCATTAACTCTCACGAGCCTCTGCTTCCTGTAACTGGGAATAGCATTACCTCAGTTTTCTGTTGATGACTTAACGATTCTAATGAGTCTGTTATATTACTACCTTAGGTGAAGATGATGGCATTTTTAATACACAAGCACCCACGCAAAAGTTCCATCCTCCCTTGACAAGTCCAGCAGGGATATGTGGATACAACACGTGACTTTACTTGCAGGCGTTCAGACCGAAAGTACACGAGCAAAGGGTGCAAGAATAATGGGGATTACAATTTTTCCACTTAATGTTCAACATTTCTTTATAAACCGTTACCTTCTTGAGGTTGAACTACATAACTAAAAACCCCGATGTTATACTTTTGAACGAGACAGCTGCAAGAGTGATCAACATATTAAATTACGTGGTTACTCTACTGTGGAGAAATCGAGAGGACCCCTTTAGTGGTGTAGCCATCTTAGTTAAATTAGGCTATACATTTAAAAATATCATGTTGATGAAGATAACATTCTTGCAATAGAAATGGGGGGGGACAACGTTTTCATGGACAACTAGTGATGGGAAAACTGGATATTTTCCCCGAGCAACCATATATAGAGTCAATTCCTTACATAGGATATTAAGCAGAAATATTCCAACAATTCTAGCGGGAGATTTTAATGCTCATCCCCCTCCCCTCTTCAATGTGGAGCTGGTGTTCCACTGGGTGACTTAAAGGAAAACAACTCTTTAATATCATGACAGCTAGAAACTTGTCATTTCAAGGCCCATTCTTTAAATCGTACATTGGACCTCACCCAGGGACACCAGATATAGTACTGAAAAAAACAGGGACTGTGACATTTTCACTGTCGTAAAATCTCCTGGTGGAAATGTAGGATCTGACCATATCCCTGTTATAATAAAACTACAAACTTCTCCATTTAGAATACCTGTAACCCCTAAACCCAATCTTAACCCCCTTAGGATTTGACCCGTTCAGGGCATATCTGGGTTGAGGATGAAATTGTGTCATTGGAAAATCTACTTCCAATGCAATTGATGTTTGCAATCAGGTCCCTGTATAATCGAATTATTGAAGCTACTAATGCAACTTGCCAATTAGCTTCCACAAAGATATCCCAACAATAAAAACCCTACTAGGGAAATTAGGGGACAATTTAAAAAATTATCAAGCAGAATGTCGAAGGCATCTTAAAACGCGACAACCACCAGCAGCTACACTGACCGATTAAGGCACGAATTAATTAACATGATTAGTCAACACAAAGGGACATATGGAAATTTCTAGTTCTTCAAGCTAAACAGTATAAAAAGTGAACCAGCAAAATTTTGGAGTTAAGATCCGACAACTTTTAGGGGCAAAGCACAAGGCTCCTAACTACCTAGTTCATACCTTCACTGATGAGGATGATGAAGATGTTGAATTAAACTTGACGATCCACAGGACCAGGCTAATTTGATGGGGGTTGAGTATGGGAGAAAATTCTCTCCCAATAACAGTCGTCAATTTAATAATAATCATTATCAGTTGGTCAAAGAATGGAGAGATGAGAACTTGGATGTCTACAACCACTACCTTCCATCGATACTTCAACTCTTGAAGATACCCACCCGCTTACTAGGGCCTATTATATTACTTGAGATAAGTCAGGTTATTGGAAGAATGAGGGAAATAGAGCCCCTGGCCTCTTGGAATAACAATGAAACAAATAAAGTACCTACCTAGAAATTGTAACAGTCTTTGGTAAATATCTTTAATGTCATCTTGCCCCCAGGGGCATTTTCCAGTTGTTTTTAAGACTGCTACGATGATTTCTTGGTAAGCCCAATAAAGACATCCACCAACCCGGGAACTATCGACCTATATCTTTACTTGAAGTCACTGGAAAAGTTCTTGAGAAGGTCATTCCAACAGATTGCACTACTATATGGGGTTTAATCACTTTTTTACTGAAAAACAATTTGGCTTTAGAACCAATAGAGGTACCAATCATGCAATAAATGTTATTTCGATTATGTAGCAAAGTCTAAAACATCAGGGCAATCTTGCCTTAATTGCCACCAGAGATGTTCATAAAGCTTTTGATAGCTTATGGCATGATGGTCTTATATACAAACTCATTGACCTACCAGACCATAACTGGACTTTTCTCAGATTAATATTTTAATTTCTTAACTCAACGAAAACTCATTCCCCCCTTTCATGGCAAGTCGACGGGGCTTTTTGTACCAACAGCTGGTGTCCCCCAAGGTTCTTGTT